GTCGACTGACTGAGATGACTGACTGAGATGACTGAGATGACTGGCTGAGATGACTGACTGAGATGACTGGCTGAGATGACTGACTAAGATGACTGAGATGACTGACTGAGATGACTGGCTGAGATGACTGGCTGAGATGACTGACTAAGATGACTGAGATGACTGACTGAGATGACTGGCTGAGATGACTGGCTGAGATGACTGAGATGACTGAGATGACTGACTGAGATGACTGGCTGAGATGACTGAGATGAGTGGCTGAGATGACTGGCTGAGATGACTGACTGAGATGACTGAGATGACTGGCTGAGATGACTGGCTGAGATGACTGACTAAGATGACTGAGATGACTTGCTGAGATGACTGGCTGAGATGACTGAGATGACTGACTGAGATGACTGAGATGACTGAGATGACTGACTGAGATGACTGAGATGACTGGCTGAGATGACTGAGATGACTGAGATGACTGACTGAGATGACTGGCTGAGATGACTGACTGAGATGACTGACTGAGATGACTGAGATCACTGAGATGACTGAGATGACTGACTGAGATCACTGAGATGACTGAGATGACTGACTGAGATCACTGAGATGACTGGCTGAGATGACTGAGATGACTGACTGAGATGACTGACTAAGATGACTGAGATGACTGGCTGAGATGACTGGCTGAGATGACTGACTGAGATGACTGAGATGACTGAGATGACTGACTGAGATGACTGGCTGAGATGACTGAGATGAGTGGCTGAGATCACTGAGATTACTGACTGAGATGACTGACGGAGATGACTGACTGAGATGACTGACTGTGATGACTGACTGAGATGACTGACTGTGATGACTGACTGAGATGACTGACTGAGATGACTGAGATGAGTGGCTGAGATGACTGACTGAGATGACTGACTGAGATGACTGAGATGATTGGCTGAGATGACTGACTGAGATGACTGAGATGACTGACTGAGATGACTGAGATGACTGAGATGACTGACTGAGATGACTGAGATGACTGAGATGACTGGCTGAGGTGACTGACTAAGATGACTGGCTGAGATGACTGAGATGACTGAGATGACTGACTGAGATGACTGAGATGACTGAGATGACTGACTGAGATGACTGAGATGACTCAGATGACTGACTGAGATGACTGAGATGACTGGCTGAGATGACTGAGATGACTGGCTGAGATGACTGAGATGACTGACTGAGATGACTGAGATGACTGAGATGACTGGCTGAGATGACTGAGATGACTGACTGAGATGGCTGAGATGACTGGCTGAGATGACTGACTGAGATGACTGGCTGAGATGACTGACTGAGATGACTAAGATGACTGACTGAGATGACTGAGATGACTGGCTGATGCACCAGCCCCCTACTGTGCCAACCTGCTGTGCTTTAGCCACCCGGCGCTAACACAAACACTAACATACACACTAACATACACATACACACTAACATACACACAGACACACACACACTAACATACACACACACTAACATACACACTAACATACACACTAACATACACACAGACACACACACACTAACATACACACTAACATACACACTAACATACACACACACTAACATACACACTAACATACACACACACACTAACATACACACACACACTAACATACACACACACACTAACATACACACTAACATACACACACACACTAACACACACACACACTAACATACACACAGACACACAGACACTAACATACACACAGACACACAGACACTAACATACACACACACACTAACACACACTAACATACACACACACACTAACACACACTAACATACACACACACACTAACATACACACACACACACACTAACATACACACTAACATACACACTAACATACACACACACTAACACACACACTAACATACACACAAACACTAACATACACACACACACTAACACACTAACAGATACAAACACTAACATATACACACACACACTAACATACAAACACACAGACTAACATACACATTAACATACACACTAACATACACACTAACATACACACAGACACACAAACACTAACATACACACACACACTAACAGATACACACACTAACATATACACACACACTAACATATACACACACACTAACATACAAACACACAGACTAACATACACATACACACTAACATACACACATACACACTAACATACACACATACACACACTAACATACGCACTAACATACGCACACACACACACTAACATAATCGTCGTCGTGGGAGTGTGTGTGTGAGTGTGTGTGAGTGTGTGTGAGAGTGTGAGTGTGTGAGTGTGTGTGTGTGACTGTCTGTGTGACTGTCTGTGTGACTGTCTGTGTGTGTGTCTGTGTGTGTGCGTGTGTCTGTGTGTGTGTCTGTGTGCGTGTGTCTGTGTGTGTGTCTCTGTGTGTGTGTATCTCTGTGTGTCTGTGTGTGTGTATGTTAGTGTGTATGTCAGTGTGTTTGTGTGTTAGTGTGTGTTAGTGTGTCTGTGTGTGTGTGTCTGTGTGTGTATGTTAGTGTGTCTCTGTGTATGTTAGTATGTATGTTAGTGTGTCTGTGTGTGTGTTAGTGTCTGTGTGTGTGTGTGTGTGTCTGTCTGTGTGTGTGAGGAGCGGTGGTGCTGTGGTTAGCGCTACGCTGCGCTATGAACCTGGCGACCCGGGTTCGATTCCTGCTCACGGCCAACACCCAGTGACAATTATCTGAACCGGTCCCGGGCCTCCCCTAGGTCGACTCAGCCTCAAATGAGTACCTGGTGCGGTGTGTAAACATCGCCACTGGGGAGACAAAGGCGGTCGGGCGTGGTGCTGGCCACCCACCCCCTCGTGTACCGTTCCGGCCTTCATAGGTGCTCGCTAACAGCACTTGCCCCTACAGTCTGTTAAGGCTATATGGGGGATCTTTGTCTTTGTCTTTGTGTGTGTGTTAGTCTGTGTGTGTGTCTCTGTGTGTGTGTATGTTAGTGTGTGTATGTTAGTGTTTGTGTGTGTATGTTAGTATCTGTGTGTGTGTCTGTGTGTGTATGTTAGTGTGTGTATGTATGTGTGTGTATTATGTATGTTAGTGTGTTAGTGTGTGTATGTTAGTGGGTGTGTATGTGTGTGTATGTTAGTGTGTGTGTATGTTAGTGTGTGTGTATGTTAGTGTGTGTGTTAGTGTTTGTGTATGTATGTTAGTGTCTGTGTGTGTGTCTGTGTGTGTCTGTGTGTATGTTAGTGTGTATGTTAGTGTGTGTATGTTAGTGTGTGTCTGTGTGTATGTTAGTGTGTCTGCGTGTGTTAGTGTGTGTGTTAGTGTGTCTGTGTGTGTGTATGTGTCTGTGTATGTTAGTGGGTGTATGTATGTGTGTGTGTAAGTGTGTGTATGTTAGTGTGTGTGTATGTGTGTGTCTGTGTGTATGTTAGTGTGTCTGCGTGTGTTAGTGTGTGTGTATGTTAGTGTGTGTGTGTTAGTGTGTCTGTGTGTCTGTGTGTATGTGTCTGTGTATGTTATTGTGTGTATGTGTATGCTAGTGTGTGTGTCTGTGTATATCTGTGTGTATGTGTGTCTGTGTGTATGTTAGTGTGTGTGTCTGTGTGTGTATGTTAGTGTATGTATGTTAGTGTGTATGTATGTATGTTAGTATGTGTATGTTAGTGTGTATTATGTATGTTAGTGTGTGTGTCTGTTAGTGTGTGTGTGTATGTTAGTGTGTATGTTAGTGTGTGTGTATGTTAGTGTGTGTGTATGTTAGTGTGTGTGTATGTTAGTGTGTATGTTAGTGTGTGTGTATGTTAGTGTGTATGTTAGTGTGTGTGTGTATGTTAGTGTTATGGGGAGCGATAGTGTAGCGATTAGCGCTACGCTGCGCTATGAACCTGGCGACCCGGGTTCGATTCCCGCTCACGGCCAACACCAGTGACGATTATCTGAACCGGTCCCGGGCCTCCCCTAGGTCGACTCAGCCTCAAATGAGTACCTGGTGCGGTGTGTAAACATCGCCACTGGGGAGACAAAGGCGGTCGGGCGTGGTGCTGGCCACCCACCCCCTTGTGTACCGTTCCGGCCTTCATAGGTGCTCGCTAACAGCACTTGCCCCTACAGTCTGTTAAGGCTATATGGGGGATCTTTGTTTTTGTATGTGTGTGTTAGTGAGTGTGTGTGTATGTTAGTGAGTGTGTGTGTTAGTGTGTATGTGTGTGTTAGTGTGTGTGTGTATGTTAGTGTGTGTGTATGTTAGTGAGTGTGTGTATGTTAGTGAGTGTGTGTGTTAGTGTGTATGTGTGTGTTAGTGTGTGTGTATGTTAGTATGTGTGTATGTTAGTGTGTATGTTAGTGTGTGTGTTAGTGTGTGTGTATGTTAGTGTGTCTGTGTGTGTGTTAGTGTGTATGTTAGTATGTGTGCATGTTAGTGTATGTTAGTGTATGTGTATGTTAGTGTGTGTGTCTGTGTGTGTTAGTATGTATGTATGTTTGTGTATGTTAGTGTGTGAGTGTATGTTAGTGTGTGTGTGTGAGTGTGTATGTTAGTGTATGTGTGTTAGTGTGTGTATGTTAGTGTATGTTAGTGTGTGTGTTAGTGTGTGTGTTAGTGTGTTAGTGTATGTGTCTGTGTGTTAGTATGTAAGTTAGTATGTTAGTGTATGTGTCTGTGTGTTAGTATGTATGTTAGTATGTTAGTGTGTGTGTCTGTGTGTTAGTATGTATGTTAGTATGTTAGTGTATGTGTCTGTGTGTTAGTATGTATGTTAGTATGTTAGTGTGTGTGTCTGTGTGTTAGTATGTTAGTGTATGTGTGTGTATGTTAGTGTGTGTGTCTGTGTGTTTGTGTGTATGTTAGTGTATGTTAGTGTATGTGTGTGTATGTTAGTGTGTGTGTCTGTGTGTTAGTGTGTGTGTGTGTTTGTGTTAGTATGTGTGTCTGTGTGTTAGTGTTTGTGTATGTTAGTGTGTGTGTGTTTGTGTTTTCCACTCACCTATGGACTCTGCCATTTTCCCTTTCACCACGGCCGATCGAGACGACAGCGAGACACGGAGAGACAGAGACACGGAGACACAGAGACAGACACACAGAGAGACACACAGAGAGACACACACAGAGACACAGAGAGACACAGAGACAGCGAGACACGGAGACAGCGAGACACGGAGACACAGAGACACACAGAGACACGGAGACACAGAGACAGACACACAGAGACAGCGAGACACAGAGAGACACAGAGACAGACACAGAGACACACACAGACACAGAGAGACACAGAGACACACGGAGACAGCGAGACACGGAGACACACAGAGACAGAGACACGGAGAGACACAGAGAGACACAGAGACAGACACACAGAGACAGACACACAGAGACACACGGAGACAGCGAGACACGGAGACGGAGATACACACAGAGACACAGAGAGACACAGAGACACGGAGACAGCGAGACAGAGAGACAGCGAGACACAGAGACAGACACACAGAGACACGGAGACAGCGAGACACAGAGAGACACGGAGGGAGAGCGAGACACACGGAAACACACAGAGACACACAGAGAGACACAGAGACACGGAGAGACAGAGACACGGAAACACACAGAGACACACGGGGACACACAGAGACACGGAAACACACAGAGACACACAGAGACAGAAACACACAGAGACACGGAAACACAGAGACACACAGAGAGACACACAGAGACACGGAGACAGCGAGACACAGAGACACACGGAGACACAGGGAGAGACACAGAGACAGACGGAGACACAGAACAGAGACACACAGAGACTAAAGCAGTGAGACACACAGAGACACACAGAGACAGAGAACAGACACACAGAGACACACAGAGACAGAGACACACAGAGACAGAGAGACAGACACACACAGAGACAGAGAACAGAGAGAGAGACACAGAACAGAGACACACAGAACAGAGACTAAAGCTGTGAGACACTCAAGAGACAGAGACACAGAGACACAGAACAGAGACACACAGAGACACAGAACAGAGACACAGAGACACACAGAGACACAGAACAGAGACACACAGACACAGAGACTAAAGCAGTGAGACACTCAAGAGACAGAGACACACAGAGACACAGAACAGAGACACAGAGACACAGACACAGAACAGAGATTAAAGCAGTGAGACACTCAAGGGACAGAGACACACAGAGACACAGAACAGAGACACACAGACACAGAGACACAGAACAGAGACACACAGACACAGAGACTAAAGCAGTGAGACACTCAAGAGACAGAGACACACAGAGACACTCGAGAGAGACACAGCGAGAGAGACAGCGGCGTTCACTCCCCACTGTTACATCAACAACCACCCACACCACCACCCACCCACACCACCACCCACCCACACCACCACCCACCCACACCACCACCCACCCACCCACACCACCACCACCACCCCCCGGACGAGTCAACGTCGCTGGACGCGAGCGAGCAGCAGCAGCAGCAGTCGTGGGTCTCTACGGCAGCCCCCACAACATCGCCAGGGCACCCGCCAGGGCATTCGCCTTGCTAGGGCTGCGGTGGTCGTGGTAGTCGGCTTCGACGACGACGGCGCGGGTAGCGGCGATTGGGTTAAAAAAAAAAATTTCGATTTAGCTGCTCGCTGGCGAAAGTCCGAGACAAAACGTTGAGCGGACGTTCAGCGAACGTTGGGGGTTGTGATGGTGGGGTGGGAGGGGCCGACGGGGGTGGGTGGGCGGGGCGTTGCCTTTCCCCAGCACGACGCCCCCATCCGAAGCCCCGCCCCCGCCGCCGCCCCACCCACCCACCCCCCCGCAAAACCGCCGGACCCGCCTACAACGTTCGTATCGCAGCTCGCCATTGGCCGAAGCCGCCCACGTGACCGCCGCGGGGGGAGGGGTTGAGGCGGGAGGGGGCGTTGCATTTGCCCAACGCGCGACGCCCCGCCCCAGTCCACCGCATCCGCCGCCCCCCGGCCCCCTCCCCCCCCACCCGGCCCCGCCTCCAGCGTACGCAGCGCCACTCGCCATTGGCCCGAACTGCCCCCGTGACCGCCTGAGAGGGGGGGGGGGGTGGGGGAGAGGGAAGAAGGGGGCGTTGCATTTGCCCAGCGCGCGACGGCCCCGCCCTAGTCCCCCCCCCCGCCACCACAGGCCCCGCCTACAACATCCGTTTCGCCGCTCGCCATTGGCCCGAGCCGCCCTCGTGACCACCAAGGGGGGGGGGGGTGGTGGGAGGAGAGGGGGGATGAAAACCTCAATGGGGAGGGGCGATCGACGTCACGAGCCCGTGGTTGCGTGATGTGGGTGGGGCTTGGGTTGTACCAAGTGCGCGCGTAGCGAAGGGGGTCGACGAGGTTGTTAGTAGTTTGATGGGAAGGGGGTGAGTGGGTGTAACGTCTCTTTAACGTTTAAAGTCGCGGCTTTCGACAGCGACAGAAGTTGCGGCGACGTGGAGTTGACATTGTGGAGTTGTGGACGACGGGCGAGCCCACTCACCCCCCACTCACCACCACTCACCCCCCACTCACCACCACTCACCACCCCTCACTCCCACTCACTCCCACCGTCTCCATCGCACCCCAACAACAACGCGCCGCAGTGGAATGACCCGCGGACCGTGCCATCTCATCCAAGCAGCGGGGAGGGAGGGGGTGTTCGGTTTCGTAATAAAATGTTCCAAAGCGAAGTCGCGCTACCCAAACCACCTTAAACTCCACAACGAGATAAATTATTACTGATAAACAGCGCGTAATCGATATTGACGGTGTATTCTGAAATCCGAGATCTAAAAAAGTAATTATTTTTTTTTATTTACCCCCCCATCAGCTCGGTGGCTACGGTGGTACGGTCCGCATTGTGTGCGCATGCGCAGTGTTATGGGTGGGGGGTTTGGGGGTCCGGGTGCGGCTGTGACGTCACTCAAAACACCCCCCACCTCCCCCCCAGGGTCAATCCACTGCTGGATGTAGATCAGTGTGGTGATGGTGGTGATGTCTGACTGACTCACCCACCCACCCACCACTCACTCACTGACTCACCCACTCACTCACCCACCCACCACTCACTCACTGACTCACCCACTCACTCACTCACCCACTCAACACTCACCCACCCACCACTCACTCACTAACTCACCCACTCACCCACCCACTCACCACTCACTCACCCACCCACCACTCACTCACTGACTCACCCACTCACTCACTCACCCACTCACCACTGACTCACTCACTCACCCACTCACTCAGCCACCACTCACCCACTCACCCACTCACCACTCACTCACCCACTCACCACTCACTCACCCACTCACTCACTCACTCACCCACTCACCACTCACTCACCCACTCACCACTCACTCACCCACTCACCCACTCACTCACCCACTCACCCACTCACTCACCCACTCACCCACTCACCCACTCACTAACCCACTCACTCACTCACACACTCACCCACTCACTCACTCACCCACTCACCCACTCACTCACCCACTCACTCACCACTCACTCACTGACTCACTCACCCACTCACCCACTCACTCACTCACCCACTCACCCACTCACCACTCACTCAGCCACTCACCCACCCACTCACCCACTCACTCACCCACTCACCACTCACTCACTCATCCACTCACCACTCACTCACCACTCACTCACCCACTCACTCACCACTCACCCACTTACTCACTCACCACTCACTCACCCACTCACTCACCACTCACCCACTCACTCACCACTCACTCACCCACCCACTCACTCACCCACCACTCACCCACTCACCCACTCACTCACTCAGCCACTCACCCACTCACCCACTCACTCACCCACTCACTCACTCACCCACTCACTCACCACTCACTCACCACTCACTCACCCACTCACTCACCCACCACTCACCCACTCACCCACTCACTCACTCACCCACTCACTCACCACTCACTCACCCACTCACCCACTCACTCACCCACTCACTCACCCACACACTCACCCACTCACTCACCACTCACTCAGCCACCACTCACCCACTCACCCACTCACTCACTCACCCACTGACTCACCCACTCACCACTTACCCACTCACTCACCCACTCACTCACCCACTCACTCACTCACCCACTCACTCACTCACCCACTCACTCACCACTCACTCACCCACCCACCCACTCACCCACTCACCCACTCACTCACCCACTCACCCACTCACTCACCCACTCACCCACTCACTCACCACTCACCCACTCACTCACCCACTCACTCACTCACCACTGACTCACCCACTCACCCACCCACTCACTCACCACTCACCCACCCACTCACTCACTCACCCACCCACTCACTCACCCACCACTCACCCACTCACCCACTCACTCACTCACCCACTCACCCACTCACTCACCCACTCACTCACTCAGCCACTCACCCACTCACTCACCCACTCACCACTCACTCACCCACTCACTCACTCACCCACTCACTCACCACTCACTCACCCACTCACTCACCCACCACTCACCCACTCACCCACTCACTCACTCACCCACTCACTCACCACTCACTCACCCACTCACCCACTCACTCACTCACCCACTCACTCACCACACACTCACCCACTCACTCACCACTCACTCAGCCACCACTCACCCACTCACCCACTCACTCACCCACTGACTCACCCACTCACCACTTACCCACCCACTCACCCACCCACTCACCCACTCACTCACTCACTCACCCACTCACTCACTCACCCACTCACTCACCACTCACTCACCCACTCACTCACCACTCACTCACCCACCCACCCACTCACCCACTCACTCACCCACTCACTCACCCACTCACCCACTCACTCACCACTCACCCACTCACTCACCCACTCACTCACTCACCACTGACTCACCCACTCACTCACCACTCACCCACTCACTCACCACTCACTCAGTCACTCACCACTCACTCACCCACTCACCCACCCACACACTCACCCACCCACTCACTCACCACTCACTCAGTCACTCACCACTCACTCACCCACTCACCCACCCACACACTCACCCACTCACTCACCCACCCACTCACTCACTCACCCACTG